CTGTGGCGCGGCATGGTCGATAGGGCTCTGATCTGAAATCCCCAACCTAGAGATTGATAATTGCTTCGCTTTGCCTCTGTGTTTCTTAGAAAGGAACCCTAGAAATCTCAGGAAGTGGAACGATGTTCGAAGACGATATATTTGTTTTCAGAACAGAACTGGACCGGATATATTTATTTTGCAATCACGGTTTAATACCGTCCCAACTAGTTTAACCAATGTTAATGGTGAGTGAACTCACAAAGTGCCAAAATGGAAATTAAGAAAACAAATTAAAATCTGAGAAAATGACCCAAAATTACCAATCTCTTTTAATTTAGCCAAAAAATGCTCATATTTTTCCATTAAAAATTTTAAATACTACATTTTTATTCAAAAAAAAAAAACAAATTATGGATCTGATTGATAACACAAGAGATAATACAATTCTTTAAATAGTAGAAAGTAGCAGTTAAGATGATTGTATACTTCTAAAACATGATTGTACAAAAACCGATAGCGATATTTTATTCGTAACGCTACTTTGTTGATTAGTTACACAAGAGGTAGTATAAATTATAATGCACTTGTAAAATACTACCGTTCAAAATATATGTGTATGTTAGTTTAACTATGATCGACATCGTGGTCATAAAATTTTTAAAATACACGTCTTTACTCACATAAAACAAATTCAAAAATCTAAAGTTTAAAACAAAAACATGAAGTTCCTAAAACACGGCGGCTATTGTTCTCAATCATAAACCTACCTCCTACAATATGGTTCAAAGCATGGGGAGATTCTTATGGTTAAATTTGAATGTTTCAAATACATTGGTTTTGAGGTATGAGTTAAGTCACACGCCGGCTATTGTTTTCAATTATGGTTGGAGGAAACCATCACCTACAGTAGTCAAATGTAATGAAGGGTATGAATGATGTGATACTAGTTTCGGAGGAGGAGCCTATTGGTTAGCTCGTGACCCCACATGCAAAGCTCTATTTCATACTAGGCGGGCATATGCAAATTTGTGGAGTTTTCTTTGGACGATAGACTCCATGATGATATTCAAGTTGCGTCAGGTGATTTTTGAATCACATTTCAAATAGATTCTTCTCCACCCTCATCTTTTCCCCCCATGTACCGTGGATTGGTGGATCATATGTTTCATATGCTCAAATCTTGAGTTTTGGAGTCTGCCTCCTATTGATGACGGTAATGATCAGGTTGCTCAAGTTGTGGCAAAGAGTGTCATTAGGGATGATCGATTTCAGTCTTACGTTTATAAAGATGGTCCCCGTTGTTGTCTTGATCACATTATCACTTCGGAAGCGGCCACATGATAAAACATCCTTCCATTGTCGGGATTAATCGACTTTATTGCACTTTCTCCATTACCGATGTTGGGGACGTTCTTTGTTTCAAAGGTAGTACGGTGCCTTGTGGCATCCTTTTTTGTACCTTTTTTTTTGGGTAGTGATTCAAACTCCTATGATTTGGCGTTGAAGATTCTAAATAAAATTACAAGCCTTAAAAAAAAAAGTTCCTAAAACACAATACCAATAGTTCATGAATGACAATAATAAAAAAGAGTTTCTACCAAGCTCTTTGCTAGTGTCCTTGTAAAAGTTCTTACGAAACTTTCTCTAAAACTGCATATGAAGTTTTTTTATGAAGCTCCTAGCAAAGCTCTATTTAAAACTCTATGTGAAGGTCCTTGTTATAAGCAGAGTCGGCCCTAGGAGTGTGCAATGAGTGCATTTGCACATGGCCCCTTTATAAAAAAAAATTTTAACAGAATTTTTTTTTAAAAAAAGCTTTTTTTATAGGAAATCAGGGCCTGAAATTTTTTTGTTCGGGACCCTCTCAAACTTTGGCTCAAACTTTGGACCGGCCCTTGTTATAAGTAAGGATCTGAGGAGTGATCCCTAAGAGTAAATTCATTACCTGATTATTTGTGTTAAACCAAATCATTGATTGAGTCTACCAATAAAGTGGCGATCACATGTTTCTTTACCATTCATTCAACTAGACAGTAGAAAACATGATCAATCGTCGGATGTTTTCATCAAACACATTGAACATAAAACATTTTTGTCAATATCATTGACGTAAACATCCATAAAAAAATCTCCTAATCACTTAGCAAACCACCATTTACTCAATAGGAAG